ACCGCAATAACGAAACCACATACTTCTTTAAATTTTTTATGCAACTGCATTCCTATAAAGTGTTTTTATTTCTATGAGAGAAAAATGCATGTCTGGTTTGTCAACTGATTATAACAAAAGATTACTTCTTTTAGGAAGGATACCTTTGTAAAACACTTTCTAAAGAAGCAAAATTCATATTTTAAGAAGATAATGCGTTCAATCATGAATTCTACACAAAGTAGTGGTTTCATGAAAAACGTATTTGACTTATTCCTCACCTTCGGAAAATACTCCCGAGTATCAGAGTCTTTCTGCAATAAACGCAAAGAACCGTATAAGGTTCCTATACACCATTATTTGACGAGATACATAGCAATTTCTCATAGTTCATAGTTGAAAATTTCTTATGCAGTTTGTTTTAGTAGATAGCAGAGATCGACGTTTTTAATACCTTACTAAATTAATTATTACAAGACGATGTGTACTATTTAGACTTTTCAATTCATATTTGTGCTGGAATAGCATCTTAAATTTTATCCAAATATTTTTCATTCTTTTCCTGTATAAAGAAAGTTATGTGAACTTGATTGAAAATTTACGAATGTTTTACAATACCATTTGTTCATACTACTACTTATATTTTAAGGACTCTGTTTCTCTCATATTTAGTCCTTCTTAAAATTCCTTGTAAATCTCAAAATATATTATAATTTTGTCTTCCGCTGTATAATTACAGAACATTTTGTATAATATCATTCCCACGAAAGACTATATCTTACTTACAAGCTGGCAACTTTAAAGTGATAAAATTTAAGCCAAGTTTCATACAGATTTTAAATAAAAAATGTCTCAGAATTTTTAAAACCTAAGTGACGTAGTCTTACTGCAAACGAACCGTTCTGTGCAAAAGCATTTGTTCAAACATCTTTAAAGTAATGAGAGACATTAATCTGTTGAGTTATTTTTTAAATAAAAGGAGATCATCACATGAAATTGTTAGATTTTAGTGGATATAGAAGGCTCCATGAAAACGTAATTCTTTTTCATTATTTCGAGCATGATAACGACATTGGAAATGTCAGAAGCTGTATTAAACGCAGAAAAGTAACTATCAAAATTTCTTTTATTTCTGAACTTAAATTTTCGGCATATTTGAACAAAACCTTTCGTAAAAAAATGTAGAAACTATTATTGTTCTTTTCCTGATAAATTAAATTTAACATTCTATCTACAATTTTTTATTGAATAATACGGTTGGTTGGTAGCCATTGATTTCTGAAATATAAATAGTTAAATTTTTAAAATATATAAACGTCTATAAATAATATTTTGTATGCATTAAATATCTTAAAAATGTGTTCCTGAAGAAAAAAAAAATTCATTACAAAATAGCCAACTCTAGAATGAGAAAGAAGAGATTTTCATGGAGATTATTAAAAAATACACATATACGTTCATTCTTACAGTTCTTTTCCGTCAAATATCGCATATACAAAAACGTAAAATAGTTAGAAATAGAAAATTTTCTTATTTGAAAATAAAACTGATACAGATACAGTACGACTTAAAAAGTTACGCTTTACAGGAATCTCAATTTGGAATAGACAGTTTCGAATATTATGTAATTCTGTTTCAAAACACATTTATGCAGAACTTGTAATCTATATTTGATTTAAAAAATGTAAAATTTAAAGGAACTATAATTACATACCCGGTTCTTTTTACATAAGCAAGAAATTTTACTAAAGTGTATTTGGAATGTCAATAAAAGGGTAAGGTCTATACTTCAAACTTCAAAGATCAACAGTAGCAAACATCTTTAAAGTAATGAGAGACATTAATCTGTTGAGTTATTTTTTAAATAAAAGGAGATCATCACATGAAATTGTTAGATTTTAGTGGATATAGAAGGCTCCATGAAAACGTAATTCTTTTTCATTATTTCGAGCATGATAACGACATTGGAAATGTCAGAAGCTGTATTAAACGCAGAAAAGTAACTATCAAAATTTCTTTAATAAATTTTAAATTTAAATAATTAAAATTAAATTAAAATTTTAAATTAAAATTAATAAAATTAATTTTTAATTAATAATAAATTTTAAATTTTAAATAATTCGAATGGTACAACGCTGATCAAGTCAATCCCCTTGACTTAAGAATCAACACAAACTAAAAGTTTTAAGTATAACTTCATCGGTATAATAGTATAAACAAACTTGCTTACCAAATGTTACAAATCAGAATACTAATAACTTCTTATTCTCTATGAAAAGAGATATTATTCACCACTTAATAATCTCAAAATCTGAATAAAAAATACTGAAGTCTGAAATACGTGACAAAATGTTTTAACCCTATTTGAAGCATACGTTCTCTACGTATCTCTAATTAATGATGACTATCTCATTTAAAATTGTGTTTCCTTCATTATCATTACATTACTGCGATAAAATCCTTTTAAAGTTCTCTGTCATACGTGTAGGGTCAGTCCATTAAAAAAGATAAAATATAAATCTATGTTGCTGTAAATTTATTTTTCCAAAATTTCTTTATTTCCTGAAAATTATGCAATCGATGTGCACATAAACGCTCGAACAAAAAGTGTTCGTGCGTTATCAGCACGTGCCACTTTTAGAATACTGAATGTCATAAGCTTGCCCCAAACCAAAACAATAAAGATTGCATTAAACATTCCGTGAGAGCTATTTTAGATTATCGGGTACACAAAACATAGCGTAAAGATAGTGTTTTTGTAGATAAACATTCAAGTACTTGCTATTCTGGTAGTAGATTATGGAATTTATGGGGAATGTAAAGTGGGAAGAAGTACATATCTAATTTTGGATTGAAGTTTGTCCCCCACATGAAGTTTTTTTAAAGACTTTTTTTGCTGATAAAAAGAACAGAAGTAACAGCTGCATCGCATTACATCATCTATTAAAATACTCTCTCAAAAAGTGATGGTTTAGACTTATTTTTCTGAGACATGTGCTCCATTTCATGATGACAGTGCTGTTGAGAATTGCATCAGGCCTTACATGATTACAGTTCTCAACTTTCATATTTTTCACAATGAGAATGACATCTGGAACTTACTATTTTTGCTGCATAATTCTCCGCCTCCTATCAAGCTCCACCAGGTGAAATTCTTTGACAGCCGTAAAAGAACTGGTATGAAAATCCTGTTAACATAATTCGTAATACAGCATAGCTTACATTTAAGCGCTTTATTTGCTTACGAGCTTCTAAAAGACTTAAAAACGAAAAAGAATTATAGGAATAAATAAATAAATAAAATTTTCAAAAATAATAAAAATCGGAAAGGCTTTCAGATTTTATATTTCTCCCAAAGGGGCGTTTTTTAACTTTTCGTGTGTTACATTTACTTATTAAGTATCATCTTCGCACTTTAACCATAAAATTCAATTCAGCAGCAATATCACAACAAAATATGAAATAGATAATAAAACAAATTCCAAATTTGGGTTTTCAGATGCCCATATTCGAATGCAGGACTACGTTGTTAAAAATTTGATGTCTCTAGGTACTGTTGTTTTTTCACAGTGCAGGAAACATACATACACTCATGCAGATTCTTCAGTATTTAATTTTATTAAATATAATACAAGGCTCTAATATTTGGTGGCAAGAATTTTAAAAATGAACCGACATTTATAGTGAACCGACGCAAAATGCCAAAATGAAATTAATAGCCCTTCTGGACAAATTGCCCTTCTTGGGCTAATAATGAGACATAAATTTATAGCTATTTTCCAAAAGAAAGTAAAGCAGAATACACAGTGATTAAAAAAAAAAAAGGATTTAAAGATATCGATATATTTCTTCCCAGTTCGCCATTTAATCATTAAATTTATTTATACCCTCTGAGCGATCATTCCTACCAAAAGCTAAAATATTGTATTATTTAATCATACTAAGCACAATATGAATCAGGATCACCAAAAAAAAAATGGAATAATTTGATTCTGCTTTTGAAGCTATCAAAAATAATTTTCAGAGAGAGATATGGAATCGAAATTTACCTGTAAATATAGCTGTATGATATAAGGATCGAGAATTATGAGACTAAAATGATTCGAAGTTACCACAGACTAAATCGAAATGCACGAATTATAAACTTAAGAATGTTGTAGTACGTATCAATCAATGCTTTTTTTTTTTTTTTTTTCAAGTATGTTACTTTTAATAAATGTGAAATATCGATACGGTGTACTTTGATTTGAAGAAATAAAATCTGCAGCAATGATTTAAAACAAACTAGAATTTTGTTGTGATTGTTTTTTTTTTTTTTTTTTTTTACCATGGCATATTTCCAAAGACGCCCATTTGTTTCTGATACTGCCGTTGAACACATAAAGGAGAACTTTATTCGCAGCCTCACAAAATCAATACAACGGGCATTTTGAGAAACTGACATTCGATAACGAATGTTTCGCCCACGTTAGGAAAATATTTAGACTTGAAACCATATAGATTTGCCATAGTTCAAGAAATTACTGATATAAAATAAAAATTTCATTTTATATATTATCACATCGGCGCTTGTGAGTTAAAGAGAGAGACATATATTGAAATGAGTAATACCTCGATGTCAAAATTTTACCCACACAGACAAACAACGAAACCAACCTCCATAAGACCACGCAAAGAGGATAAGTTGAAAATAAAAATATTAAAATGATGTTACTACATAATCTGAGAATGAATCAATAGAAAGTTAATAAAATTAAAAAATTAAAAACGGCACCTTAAATTAATTTTCCCTTGTCTCTTTTCATTGAATGTAAAATGCTTTTTGGTATCCATTTCTATATACCATTTCTCCTGTTTTTGATCCGTTTCAACACAAAAGAATTAAACTTTCATATATAAATGTGAAACATAATTTCATTTTTCATGTGAAGGTCATTGCGAAACATAATTTCATAACAAAATAAGAGCAAGTTACTATACATTTCCACTTGCTTATATATAAAAAAATAAAGGATACTTACAAAATAATGCAAATAAAATGGGCAGGGTCTTGGCAGAAATGATACGACCTTGTACTTCTTCCAAAGAATGAATTGAAGCAAACTTATTTTTAGCAAACAAGTTTTCTGTGCCAATCAAACCAGATATGCAAATCAATCACCTGTTCGGCAGCAAAAATTACGAACCTGGAACAATTATCTGAAAAACAAAATTTAAAAAACTGCACTTCTTCTGTAAAGAATTTCATTCAAGACAGGGCAAGCTAAATAATTAGGTTATAGACACACGCTTGTGTATGTATATATATATATAAATACATTTCATATCTATATATATATACTTATATGGGACTACCAGCTAAGTCGAACACTACATATTACGATAAAATTGACTAATCTGATGATTATGCCTAATCATCAATCATCTTAATAAATCAATAAATCTGTTTAATGAATTATTAATCAAATTTAAAGGATGTCATATTCAGCGATATATGTCGAACTTACAAATTCATTTCAGAATTAAATATAACCACCGGTAAAAGTGAGAAATTTCATGAAATTTATCAAACTTATTAAAATGATTGGTGATCCACTACAGATCTACATCTACTCCGTTCTGACATTCTTATATCATGCGCCTTAAAGGCATATTTAGTCAATGCAAGTACTGCCGGAATATCGCCCAACATAGCGATATCCCGACAATACTCACATTGATTGATTGGTGATTATGCATAATCACTGGATTAACCACTTTTGCTATTATATACATATTTATACAGCTTGTTCTTGAAATATTTCTAGACTTCATTTCGTAAATAAACAATTTGTCAATATGTCAAGATGAACGGAAAATGTTCACTCTGATTGAATAAGATATGCCGATTACCCGGTACTCGAAGAAGGAAAACTGCTATAGTTCGGAGGGGCAGAGAGAAAAAAAGCCTTCAGCAATATTTATGAATGGGCACTTTTACTGTGTAATCAGTTGACCACTAATTACACTTTTCTTTCAATTTCATGAAGCATAAGAAAAGAAAATATTCTCTCTTTCTATTAGCAAACCTTTTTTGTTGACATGTTTTACACTTTCTTCAAGTATTTCTATATACTATATGTAGTTGACAGGCATAGCAATCTAACCTTGTATTAAATAAAAAGCTTTAGGAATAATATGAAAATTCTATTAAGCAGGCTTAGGTATCTCTATTTTATCTGTTATATTTAAAGAAGCATATTACTAAAGTAAACTCTTTCTTTTATTCGATATCTCTGACAAATTGGTAACATTAAAAAAAAAATGTCCGACTTAAAAAAAAAAAAAAAAAAAAAAAAAAGATGATGATGATGATGAAAAATGCTTCTGTAAGAATAAATTACTGCTGAGAATTTTAATATGCAATTTGTCTTCCCATATCTTTCATCTCTTTTCCATATGCTATCAGTTACGTGGTCAGTAGGGAACAAAACCAATTTATGCTAGATATCTTATGCTAGACCAGCGTTTCTCAGTCTGAGATCAGCTTCCTAAAATTAGTCTTCTAAATATGCCCTTGTAGTCCTCCTAGATTTTCAAAAAGGACACACACACATTTATTAAAAAATGAAATCAAATTAACTGCGTATACTCCACAATAGCTGTAAATCTCAGAATTTGGAAATTATGCATGGCACTCGTCTATCAACTTTCCTCCAGAGAATGATATTTTGCGAAATTTATTACCGGTTATCCTACCTAAAGACTTTCCACTCTAGGGTTAGCAAGAAAATAAAGATTTTAAAGCACTATGACTGCGGTGCTTCGTACCAACATATACATCCAAACATAGAACAGCAATGCAAAAACCGGCAGATTTATCCATCTCATTAATGTGACTATATCAACACTTGCTTAATTTTTAGTTAGTAAGTTAAAGATTATCCAAACTCTGATAACTTTGAATTAATAAAAATGAATAAATATTTTCTTCTGTTAATTTAGTTCCTTATACCATCATAAAATTGAATTAATTTTAATTAATTGTATTTAGAAAATATGAGTATACATACGTTAAAAAAAATTCCTTTCGAAAGGGGCGAGAGTAATGTGGTCCGCTGAGCATTCTGATTTATAAATGTGGTTAGTTTTTTGGGAGAAGTTGTGAGTAATCGCATTTCTTTCGTGTACATACTCAGATAGTCAATAGCGCTGAGTTAGTTAAGTAGGCAATTAATTTCACCCGTTTAACATATTTACCTTCAAGGCAAAAGTGATTGAAGCTGTTGCAAGCTAGCTGACTGTTAACTGATTAAAACAAATCACACGGGTCTACCTGTCTGATGGAAGGGATGCCATGGCGGAAGATTTTCCAAGAGACACTAGCTCATGTCAAGTGATATTCAGGGATAACCACAAAAACATCAATGTAACTTCTCCGTTCGCTGAATTTTAAACCCGTGTCGAACTACCAGTTTCCACTGCCTTATTCGCTAGGCCAATGATTAGCCCCTTTTAAAAGCTGGAATTGTGCTTTAAAAGAAATACTAACTGCATCGACATACTAGCAACCATATTAACCAAGGACTCCCTTCCAATAACACTCAAAATTTAAAAACTCCATGCGTACAAATACTCAGGGCCTCTAATAAAGAAATCTTTATTCAAATCATGATATGCTTACGAAGCCCCCCGATTTTTTTTCCCATGGACCGTAGATACATAATATTTGGTTTCTTGATCTCTTCTAAAGAAGTGAATTTGTATATTAAACTGATATTTTGATGAACATATTGAACTTAATTCTGTAAATTTCAAGTGAGTAGTTGTCTAAGCCAATTTAATCCGGCTGTTCTGTTTAGTTCAACAGAATACAAATAACGGATTTTGTATGCCTTTGTATGGGAAGTCATGTTGTAGAGTCACTAGGTTTTTTTGAAGCAGGAGTTGTGAAGAATGTGCACTGCCCTCGCTGGGACCCGAACATGAACCCCCCCTTCTAATATCCACAAATCTATATGAGGCACAGATCTACATATATAGTTTTTCTTTTTGTATTCAAACAACTGGAAACAAGGCTCAGAAAGGGATTCTAAACTGTGAATGACTAGAAAATGCTCTACTTGAAGTATCATAATATTTAACATTTTCGAAAAATTATTTTGTAACCCGAGGACAACAACATGAATAAAACTAATCCGTCTTTTTCTCTCAACTTATTGGGCCCACCAGCGGCCGAGCGGTAAAGTCGCTGAATACTGGTAGTTCGGTCCGAGGTTCGAATCCCGCGAACGGGCTGGCTGCATGGGTGTTTTCGTGGTTTTCCCCATGTATAACGTGTATACGAGCCAGTTTCCCTTAGAAAGTCCTCCACGAAGGCATCCCTCCCCTTAGGCAGATAGCCCTAGTGTGCTTTGCCATAATTAAATACACCAAAATTCTCTCAACTTATTGGGTGGACATCAACATGAGTAAAATTTGAATTTGTAAAGATGGGGAGCTGCTTAAATTTCGATACAGCGGATAGTTCTTCACCTTAACGAATTAAATAAATTAATTTTCAGTAATATAATAAACAATACTTACGCTGTGTTGAATAAGCGATTCATGAAACATCATAAAAAAATTTAACGAGTAGTAGTTTTCATCTATACATTCTTTTAAATGCATTATTATTTTTCTAGTAAGTTGTAACTAAATTGCTATAACTAAATACTTAACTTTTACATAGTAATTTATGTACATAAATAACATACACATAAGTTTCAAATTTTCATTACGAGAATCTGAAATCTTTTTTTCAATTTTTTTTTCTTTAGGATATATGCTGAGTTTGATGATAAATGACTAGTAACGTTTGATGATAAATGATAAATACCTCGCATGACTTTCCTTCGTTGTTTTCTTATAATCTTACTCTCCCGTTCGTTAAATAATTATCGTTTGTAAAATATTAAATTGCAAACAATTCAATTTGCAGTTCAGTTATCGGAATATTAAGTCAGCAAAATGTTTTCTTAAGAATTCTTCGGATATATTTAGAGCCCGACTGCTTTTGAACTCGTTTGCTGACAGTTCTTTAACTATAGAACATTTTATAGTCCATACTAAAATTTTTGTTTAATGCATTAGATAAGTCTTTTTGTGGATTTTTGAGTCTTCCGCGTATTTGATTAATAACACTTATACAAGAGGTAAGTAATGATAGGCAATAGAAACTTCTGTTAATTATAATGATGATTACTTGTAGTACGATATTACTAAGAACATATCTTTCCAAAGTTGTTGCATTTGTTACAGTGATAAGCAATGTACTTATAAAAAGTTAATGAAAGATTTCTATGTCTCAACAGTTTCGGATTTTGTCTCGGATACTAGCTGAATGAAATAAAACAGCAATACTTTTAAAGACAAAAACAACTACAAACTAATCCAAAAATCTTAAGTATTTCAAAAATTTAAGCGATAGTCGATTAAATAGGTATAATGAAGCACGAATTGCATGAAAAATGAATCGCAAAATATATCGACTTTTGTATATTTTTATAAATGTTTCATTCTTTTGAACCACCTCGTGTATTAAAGATAATGCAAGTCGGATTTCCCACCTTTTTAAAGCCTTCGGTTAAGAAAAAAAGAAAGAAAAAAGAAAACTTTGAGTTTATTAATTTTTCTTTTCTTATTTATTTTGTAGACCTCTATTTTCTCTGTATCAATGCGCGGAAGATCGCCGTTTCACACCTTACGGAAATGTCTGGGTGAAATGCAGTTATCACAGACCAGAAATAATAATAAATAAAAACAAGCAGCCAAAATTTAAATTAAAAAAGGAAAAAAAAATCTCGCAACTGTAAGTTGAAATACGTTCTTGCGTCAGATTTAAAACGGGGGGAGATGAAATCAAAGGCAGGAAAAGAACGAAACGCAAGGAAGGAAGTTAAATGCTGAATTCTAGGCACGTTTACAAGATTCAAGCAACACAATGGATGTTCGAATCCCCTACTCTTTGTGTAACACTTCGCCACTATCCAGTGAAGGGCGTTTTTTTTTATTGCATTTTATTAGCCTACAGGTATAGCGCGAAACGCGGAAAGGAAAATTTAGACCCAACAAAATCTTTATCACCGTTTATAAGCTTATAACCCAATATGATCCAATTCAATAGCATAGTCACTAAATTATAGCAAATGAGGGATTTCCTTTATGATGTCATAACAATG